GACATTGCCGAGCTGCAGAAGGGCCTCAACTACACGGACGCCACCACTACGCTGCGCAACGAGGTGACCAACCTGAAGAACAAGCTTCTGGCCACGGAGCAAAAGTCACTGGACTTGCAGAGCGACGTTCAAACCCTCACGCACATCTCGCAGAACGCTGGCCAAAGTCTGGGCTCAGCCCGCAGTACTTTGGTGGCCTTAAGCGACGATCTGGCCCAGCTGTATCACCTAGTGTGCACCGTCAATGGAGAAACGCCAACACGTGTCCTGCTTGATCACAAGAGCGATGATATGAGGTAATTGAACATTGTCTTGTTTAACTACGGATTACTAATCTAATCTCTTATCCGATGCATTACAGTTTCGAAAACGATTCATTGACTGCCATCCAGTCGCAATTCAAATCGGATGTTTTTATTGCCAAGCCCCAGATCGTCGAAGATCTGCAAGGCTTGGCTGACTCCGTGGAGATCAAGAAGTACGTGGACACAGTCAGCGACCAAATCAAGTATTTGAAGACAGCTGTGGAGCATACCATCGATCTGAACAAACACAAAGTGCGCTCCGAGGGTGGCGATGGTATGTTGATACTGTAAAGCAACCGTAAGCTCTTTTAATCTCAATGTATATTTCAGCTCTGGAGAAGGTCAACACCGAGGAGATGGAGGAACTGCAGGAGCAGATAGTCAAGCTGAAGAGTCTGCTGTCCGTGAAGCGCGAACAGATCGGAACTCTGCGCAACGTGCTCAAGTCAAACAAACAAACCGCCGAGGTGGCTCTCACCAATCTCAAGTCCAAGTACGAGAACGAGAAGATTATTGTCAGCGACACCATGTCCAAGCTGCGTAACGAGCTCAGGCTTCTCAAGGAGGATGCAGCCACTTTCTCAAGTAAGCAACTGAAAGAGATGAGATTTGCAGATTAGTCTAGTTCGCTATTATTCAGAAAATATCTTTATTTAATAGATTGCCTATCATTATTGTATTTACTTACACCTAATCTAAATTTTTAGGTCTGCGTGCCATGTTCGCCGCTCGCTGCGAGGAGTATGTAACCCAGGTGGATGATCTCAACCGCCAGCTGGAGGCTGCAGAGGAGGAGAAGAAGACTCTTAACCAGTTACTGCGCTTGGCTGTCCAGCAGAAGCTGGCACTCACCCAGCGCTTAGAGGAGATGGAAATGGATCGGTGGGTGCACTTGGGTCGTTAAAAGTCAGCTGCATCACAACCCACCCCCCGTCACAAGCAAACACATATTCATCCCTTTCTCGATTAGGGCTCCTCATTTCCCTGTCTTGTCCCTGAAATTCCTTTGAGAGTCCAGCAATTGGTAAGCCCCTGCAAGTGGCAGAAAATTTGTTGCATGCCCGCCTGCCTGCTAACCTGCTGCTGGAATCCGCCTAACCTCATGAGAAACCGCTGTGTGCTGATCAATAGTTTACAATATTTAAGCTTGATCCATTAAATGTCGATGGCCAACTAACAATTATCCTGTATTCACTCCCAACAGCGAAATGCGACACGTCCGCCGCCCGATGCCCGCCCAGCGAGGCACCAGCGGAAAGTCCTCCTTCAGCACGAGGCCTTCGAGCAGGAATCCAGCGAGCAGCAACGCCAACCCATTCTAACATAAGATCAGCGTGCAGCGTAAACTTCTGGCTTTGGTTTATACTTTGCTTAAGTTGTAATTTCGTTGGAGTTCCTGCGGAAAGAGAGGGGGAGAGATTCCCACAATCACAAGATATACTGCAAACGTATTTTAGAACGAAGCTATATCCATGCTCTATCCAACTACTATAACTATGTTTGTTTGTATTGTATTTGTATTTATTGAAAGTTTAGTTAGATGAAAGTTTTGTGTTAGACAAGGAAGCAGCAAACGGTTATTAACGGTTAGTTACTTAAACGTCCAATTAATTTAATTAAAACAACATTAAGGAAAAGATTAAATAATAACGTAACGAAATGTATTTTTCTACAAACAAATGACGTACTTTGAAGGCGTCGTAATTTGGTTTGATCTGAGTTTTGTTAACTTTCGCGTTGATTATTTGATTTTTGTTACAACGCTGTGCGCAAGCGAAAAAGATTGACAAACTAAAGCGGTAAATAAGTTGAAGTTGAACAAAAGATATTGATATTGGCAAGTGAACCATGTATTAATTGGCCAGCCCGATAACCGAGAGTATTTTTCCACGGCCCAGTTCAAACTAAGTGGCCCCTAATGTACGTAAAGAACAAGAGACCAGATTTTGGGTCGAAATGTATATTAACGATGGCTTGCAGCCATTGAACATAGAGTAGCAAAAGGCTACGTCTCAAAGACGATTCTGAATGATGACGACTTTTGTATTTATTAAACGGCATTTGGCCGTCTTGAAGTGAAGAAATTGTAGGAAATTAATTATAATTTGCAATGGAGAAAAAAAAACTAAGTTTTTGCGGTTTATTTAGCAATAATTGCAGACATAACTTATGATTTGTGCATTATAATTTAATACAATTAATAAATTGCAACACAAAAATATTAAGCGAGAAAGGGTTTTAATTTGTATTTATTTCTTATCATTTAAGATTAAAAGTGGGAATCCCGTTCAATGCCTTACAAAATTAATTGTTTTAACACAGTAAAGAATAAAAAATTTGAACGGGAATTTATTTTAAGAATTCTTATTTCATCAGCAAGGATACCATTATGTTTTGCCTAGGTCAAACAGCCTTGATAGGAAGCATTGTTTAAATAAGAAATAACTAACTATGGTGATTACCAGCAGCTTAACCAACATACAAATAGCAAGACAAGCGTTAAAGTTTAAATAGATATTATTACCGTAGCTAATTGAACACGAAAGTAGTGATTACAGCCAGAGCACCTTCTGTAGTAGTATTTAAATTACTTCACCTCCGAACCCCTAAAGAAACAGAAACTCTGAACCTGGTTGCTTGCTTTTTGGGTTATTGATGTTTTCGTTGTCAATCGGAAGAGATCGATGTTCTACATAAAATTTATATATACAAGATCGTATATTGTGTAAATTACCGAGCCATTAAATTGAATTTATATTAAAATAAACACAGATATACACACAGAGACACACATGCTGATACACACAACGTCCATTCATGCATTCACATATAAAACTCGTTGGAGTTGCCTAAAGAAAATTATGCAGTACGCCAGGACAGCAAGGAGAAGCACTCTAATTAATTGTAAATATATTTATATACACATTGAAGTTGATAGATATTTCGAATGTGAAACAAGCGAACAAAACAAAATGCATACATATTTCAAAATGATTTTATTGTAATTTTTACCGTCCCTTTTTGCGAACGAACAAAAATACAAAGTCTATTTACGCAACTCACTGAACCAATAACGAACGAATGAAACAATTCACTTTAAGTTTCGTGTCCAAGCAAAAGTCCGAGATCACATTCAACTTATACATCGATCCAACAAGCCAAAATATTTATAGCCAATATGCATACTACATAAATCATAAAATTAACTCGAGACCAGAGTACTTCATTAGAGATTATTGATAACCAAACAGAATAAAGTGGAGGCAAAACAAAAAGCAAATAGTTTTCTATTTCCCGAAAGAAAAAAATGAATGTAAGAGTAAAGCAATTGAATTTAAGATTTGAAGGATATTTAATGTAAGTTTTATGATAAATTGCCGGCAAACTGCAATAACTTTGCATGTGGTAACTGTGGACATATGAAAATGCAACCGAGTGTGCAAGGGATAACCCAGAATATAAATTATACAAAATACTTAATGCAAAATATGTGAAAATAAACAAATTAGCAGACATGGGTGCAGTGTATTTCTACCTTTATTAACAGGTGCGTTGATAATGTTTTATTTTGTATTTGTAAGTCTTTCTAATATTTTTATGATCCAGATCCATTAAGATTCATTGGGGTTCTACGAGCCGATTGGCATCATAAATTGGGCATATCCTACTCTGAATTGGTATTGTTTGGGAAATGGCTCTTTGGCTCAAAGAGGCCCATTTTGTTGTTGTCAGAAATCGGAATTCAATTTGTTTGGGTTTAAAAATTCCAATTAAGTTTCGAATTCAAAACACAAAAATAAAAAAAATGTTATGCAGTGATTTAAAAGTAACTCTATAATCTTCAAAGCATAAAAACTCATCATGATCATCTTTTTTAAAATAATAACAATAAAATAATTGTTAGGCTATCATTTTTAAGTCTCAGCATTTCAAATAATTTTTACAAATATCTCCCTCCTATATTAAAACAAAGCGAATTGTATTGTTTAAAACTTGCAAAATTGTTTCTTGGAAACAGTCTAAGTCTGTGGAAGTAATCGTAAAAATTATTATCAGAAATTTTTAGCAATCGTTGAAATATTCATATGTTGAGTGTACGAAGCCTTTATTTATAATGTTAATTTAATTTTATTTACTTTCGTTAAAACTATTTCTGGCTGTGGCGGGTCACTGGCATTCCGGGCAGCAGGTACAAACAGAACATACACATCACGTTAGAGGAGTATTGGCGAATCTTGACCCACATTTGGCTTCCCTGGAGGGGGGCGACCACATGGTTATGAAGGCGTCTGAGACTTAGGCGGCTACTGGACTCCCCGAGGACGCTAAAGAAACTGGTGCGTGATCGGCTTAGTTCCTGGCGCAATTCTGTGATTTGGGCCGTCATGCGTACTGTACTTTCACGCAGTTGTTCCAGTTCACCAGTTTGCCTAAGATCGAAATGAAAAAGAATTGATTAGGTTTTCCCGCTATGGGCTTAGATTACAGATAACAGTAACCATAAATTCATGTTTTGGTGCGATTTGCTTCGTTATCAAATAATTTAAAAACATTTAATTATTTAATTTTATATAATAAATATTTTCATACGAATGGATGGTGCCGATTTGGTGGTGCCGTTCAAAAACTACATACATGTTTATATATGTTTAGCCTGATAAGAGGCAATCGTATAAACAGCGGGAAGCCCAATCTGGATTTCAGTCAGTCTAGATCTTTTCAAGCAATCATGGAACGATTCTGGGCAGTACAAGTTCTTCTTTTGGCTGGCCTGATTTTAGGCGAAGCCTGTTCTTACTGCGTTTCAAGGGAAGAGTGCCAAAAAGAAATTCCAACATTTTTCTATCCTTGTTCTATAACTCAAGTCTGTTGTGAAGTTCTCCGTTCCAATTCGCAGGAAACGGATACAGGATATGGGGGAAAAGTAAGTTTGCAAAGAATTTTCGACCAGTTTTTAACTATTTTTGATTTTTTGCAGAGACCCGAAAAAGAATTCCCAAATGTTGATATTACCCCTTGGCCACCTAAAGAACGCAATTCGCTACCAGTTGGTACACAAGTGCAGGGCTTGAGTAACCCAAACGGATTGGGTATCACAAAACATGTTACCGATGGACAATCGAAGCCTGGCCAATATCCCTGGGTGGTGGCTTTGTTCAACGAAAGTCAGTACTTTGCGGGTGGATCTCTGATCTCCGCAGGAGTTGTGCTAACAGCAGCCCACCACGTGTCGTTTTTGGAGACCGAACAAATTTTTGTCAGAGCTGGCGTATGGAACTTAGAACCCACAACGAATCCCTTTGCGTCTTATGTCCGCGGTGTGAAGAGGATCGAGAGCCACCAACACTTTGATTATGAAAGTGGGGCCAATGACTTGGCGCTTCTCTTCCTTAAAACCCCTTTCGAGTTAGAGGGACACATCAGAACTATCAGGTTGCCTTTCGCAAATAAAGCCAACGAGGGACTTTGCTGCACGTTGGCCGGTTGGGAATGGCCATCGAAGATCGGGGCACAGGATCAAGGCTCTTCGAGCATTATGAAGAAAGTGGAACTACGCATTTTGGGCAGAAACACATGTCAGAATGAGTTGAGAAGGACCATAGACATGGGTAACTATTATACTCTGCCCCAGAGTCTCATTTGCACCCGAGGTGTGGCTGGTGTCAGCTTGGCTGCAGGATCTCCCTTGTTCTGTTCCATCGATGAAAAAAATCAACATATCTACGAGCAGGTTGGCATCGTGTCCTGGGGCAAGGATTGCGGCCAGAGCGGTGTTCTCGAAACCTATACAGATGTTTTTATGTTCAAGGAGTGGATAACAAGCAGTATAGTGACGTGAATGAATTTTTGGATTAACACCATTTAAATGTTTCCAGGACCCTAAAAAACGTTTTGGGACAAACTGAAAAATCCCAAAATTCTTTTGTATAAATGTTTAAGGAACTTTTGGATTTTAACTAATGAGGTGTCATGCGACGCAAATTTTTAGTAAGAATACAATTTGGCTAATAAACTGGGCGTTTGTCACCAACAATCCCAACACATCTTTATTTTTTCATTGCAGTTTTACTACTTTCTCTTCCAAAACAAATTAGTTTTTAAAGTCATTGTATGCAATCCTTTAAGTTTAGGCACTACATTTTGATTGGTATATCTATTGCCATATCACAGCAGGTTTTTGTTTTTTCATGTATATATAGTAGTCGCCTTTGTACACTCTACAGAGATAACTTTTCTTTAGTGTCGACCATTTTTATTGGTGAGTAGGTACACTGGCGGAATAAAAACATCAATAAAAAATATATGCAAATTAACTTTTATTTAATGATCTATATTGACGTCTTTGAAAAACCCAAATTTTGGAAATGGCAAGGCAAAAATAAAGTTATGTTTTTGACCCAGAGATAAGGTACAGCGTGATATTTTAAATGATTTGCATATATAATTCTGAAGAATATTGCTCCACCAATTCGTCCTCCTAAATATACATATGTATTTATATATTTTTTTTGTTTTAAAAAATAAAATTTTATTGTGGTACGCAAATTGATTACGGGTTCCTAAGAAAAATGCATGTTTTACACACATAAGTTGACGACTGATAAGGGTAGAGCTCCGAGGGTATAAAAGAATAAGCACTCGGACTGCCTGTCAATCACTCTGGTGAAGTCAGCATGAGGCGTTACTGGGCAATCGGAGCTCTTCTCTTGGGCAGCCTTCTTATGGGCAATGCCTGTAATTATCGCTGTGCTCCTCGGGAACATTGTGAGGAAGAGGCACCTATATTCGATTACCGGTCAAATAATTGCGTCTCTCCTGATATCTGCTGTGGAATCATGCGACAGGTTAGTTATTAAAAATGATTTAAGTGTGACTTATAGTTCAGTGTTTTTGATTACTCGCAGAATTTTTTTGCACCACCACCCAATTCGTACCCGACAAGGCCAGACCCACCAGCTTCATATGGTCAAATGGGCCAGAGTGGTGTTCCATCAACTCGGAGACCAGTCACAATTCCACCAAATGGCCCTCATGATCGTTTTCCAGGTCCAAACGGTGTAAAAGAACCTTACGGTGGTGCTAATCCATCACCGGGTGGCGGAAGCGCACCAAGTGATACGAATGGAAGTAGCTCTTACCCCAGTGGACCCCAAAATCCTGTACCCGGAAAATATAGCCCAGGAGGAAGGTACCCCACAATCCTCGGTGGTACCTCACAACGTCCTATGGCAGGTGTAGGATCCCAAAATCCTGTACCCGGACAATATAGCCCAGGAGGAAGGGACCCAACAATCCCTGGTGGTACCTCACAACCACCGATGACAGGTGTTGGATCCCAAAATCCTGTACCCGGACAATATAGCCCAGGAGGAAGGGACCCGACAATCCCTGGTGGTACCTCACAACCACAAATGACAGGTGTTGGATCCCAAAATCCTGTACCCGGACAATATAGCCCAGGAGGAAAGGACCCAACAGTCCCCGGTGGTACCTCACAACCTCCGATGGCAGGTGTTAAATCCCAAAATCCTGTACCCGGACAATATAGCCCAGGAGGAAGGGACCCAACAATCCCCGGTGGTACCTCACAACCTCCGATGACAGGTGAAGGTTCCCAAAATTATGCTGATGGAGTTGAACAGGGGCAACAGTGCGGGATGAGCAATGCAAATGGCTTGCAGCATTTCGAAGGAGATTCCACGGAAACCGCAAAGCCTGGACAGTATCCTTGGGCTGTGGCTCTGATCCACGAGAAAAAGTACTTAGCGGGCGGATCCTTGATTCGCCCAGGAGTTGTCCTAACAGCAGCTCACCGAGTGGTGGACAAGAATGCAGCCAAAATTGTGGTCAGGGCTGGCGACTGGGACTTGGGGATCAATAACGAGCAGTTTAAAGTCGAGCAACGCGAAGTTGTAAGAATCAAGATCCATGAAGAATTCCAGTTTTCATCAGGTGCCAACAACTTGGCGCTTCTGTTCTTGAAATCGGATTTCCAGATGTCTGACAACATCAGAACTATCTGTTTGCCTAACATAAGGAAAACATTTGAAAGGCGTCGCTGCATAGTTGCCGGTTGGGGAAAGATACATTTCCAGGATAAAAGCTTCTCCACCATTCTGAAGAAAGTTGAGTTGCCCATGGTGGACAAAAGGACATGTCAGAATCAACTGAGGCAAACCAGACTGGGACCGAACTATCAGCTTCCTGAAAGCCTGATTTGCGCCGGAGGCGAACTTAACCGGGATGCCTGCTACGGAGATGGCGGTTCTGCCCTCTTCTGCTCCGTTGGAGGTGAGAACTCAGGTGTCTTCGAGCAGGCCGGCATCGTGAACTGGGGCATCGAGTGTGGACAGCAGGACGTCCCCGGAACCTATACAGATGTGGCTATGTTCAGGTATTGGATTGAAGAGAACCTGCTGCCCTTCCGGTACAGGATGGGGGAAAACCCCCTTCATTAGGTACTTGGCAATGTACTTTATGCGCAAATAAAAGAATTCGGCACCGAGATCTTCATTGGTTTCATTTTATTTTTTATAATCCAGAACATTTTATTTTTGTAGAATTTCTTTTTTCGTTGGTTTCTTGTTTTTCATAAATATATAAAAATATAACATAAAAACCTCGTCTTAGTTTTATACAGTCAATCTAAGGAACACGGTCTGACAAGCGGAAATCTCGATAGCCTTTAACCTAAGAAATTCCTTGTTATTAAATCGCTATCAACTTCGGAAATCCCACAAATACACACAGAAAAAACAGCCAGATTGGGGACAACACATGAAAGCTCGATCATAAAAGTTTACCAGATATGTAGAGTAGATTTTCTATCGAATATGGGCAGTTGAGAAACATTTTAGATCTAAAATAGAACGATGGCTATCAAAAAGGGACTTCATAATTTCAAAAACTATTCAATCTTGATGATTTCAAACTTCAGGATTTCAATATAGTATAGTACTAATAAACTTACTCTTTGATGGCTAGCAGTCTCTCCTCCAGTGCGGAGATGTCCCCCCTCTGATTCCGAATTTTTTCCTCCTTCTGAACCAGTTTGCGGTGGTACCAGTCCCTCACCTGGTGGTACTTGGCCTCCCTGCTCTCTGCCAGGACAACTTCCTTGATGAGCAGTTCAATTTCTCGCTGCATTTGCTTTCTGGTTCGCTGCTCATCCGTCAGTTGTCTTTGCAGATTGGATTGCTCCATGTGGGCGGTGGACAGCAACTTCTGGGTCCGGCTCGACATTTCTTCCAGCTCATCGTACTGTTAGAGGGGTAATTTTTTTATTTCGAAATTTTTTCAATTACAATATAGCAATAACAATACAGTTTTATTATGTTTTTGCTATAAAGCGAATTATTAACATTATCATTTAACTTTACTTTAAAACCTTAAAGATCGAGCGTTTTAAGGTAATGATATTAAACACATTTCCCAAACAGTCTGATAAGTTTTTGAATTTGACATAGTATCAATCAAACTAATTTAAGACGGTCCAATAACTAAGCTAGTATGAGGGTATAATTTAAATGTCTATTATAAAGTAGGTACCCATGTAGTGTTATTTCTATTCGTTTTAAGGAATAAGGATCGTACTTACCTTCTGTGAGCGTTGATCCAGATCCGATTGCAACTGAATTTTCTCGGTTGTGAGGTTACGGACCGAGGAAGCGAGTGATTCGCAGGAGGATCGCACCTGGTCGATACTCATCTCGGATTGCTTTAGCTGCATTTGCAGTTCCCGGTTCCTTCTTTGCTCCACTCGCATCAAAGTGCCATAAACGTGCAGTTCGTTCTTGGACTTCATGGACTATTAATAAAAACGGTAGGATCAAAATAAAATAAAGATGAGGTTTCCAGGTCCTAAACTACCTACACTGCATTGAAGACGCTGAACTACCTGCTGGAGTTCACGAACCTCCTTTCGCCGTTGACGCCACGTGTGCAACATCACCGTGGTAAAGACCCTCAAGCTGGCATCGGTTTTCCGCTGATTCCAGAGTTCCGGTTGCGATAGCAACATCTGCTGACGATCCATTGAATCATCCGTTTTTGGGCAGGAGCTCTTTTCGCAGGGGCAATGCAACGTTTTTTCTTCCTGACCCTCCATTTTATGCAACAGTATGTTAAAGTGTAAAAATAACTTGAATTTTATCGACTTGCTTTTGTTAAAAAGCTTTAAAAATATAGCTAAAAAAAATGTACTTTAAATTCCTTACTGAATATTTTGGCAATTCGAAAAAAAGGTCTGACATATCATAAAGTTTTAATCAATGCCACCTCAGTATACCAAAAATTAAATCTTTCGTTTTCTTGGTTCTTTCGCAACAAATACCCGGAATTGGCCAAGGTCATTGGGGGTTAACTGGCGATTTGCACGCACACCGACTAGTTCTCAAGGTTTTTTGGGTAGGTATTCTTTGTTAAAACGTATTCACGACTTTAAAAGACCCTTCAATTTTTGACACTCTCTTTATAATTACTTGCTTATTTCAATTAAAATTCGGGGTGGTTTTAAAAATTACAATAATAAGATATTTTAACAAGGAGTGGCCAACTGAAATCGTGTTTTATTTCATTCTTAATTGGAACCCTTTTTATAAAATAGTTCATTTTATACGTACATAGAAATAAATCAGATGATTGTCCAAAATAACTTTATGTTTGAATATAAACCAATTCCTAGAGGTCTTAATTAAGAACTAATACTAAGAAATAAAATGAAATGTTATGAATGGCAGATAAGGTTTATTTATGTTCATCTGGCTCTTTTAATATGAAAAAAAAACCATATTAGTTCTAAGAAGTTTGACTTTATCAATACATTTTTAAGTACTCATACATCTGTGTTTGCATATGTATAAATTATTATCATTTCCGGGAACAGTTTAAGGGTGCTTTAAATTCGTTACTGACCCGCTAAAATAATTATTGGCTTGATAGACGTTCAGGCTACCAAAACTTGTACAAGGTCCCCGAGGCAGAGGCGTGGTTTTGGAAAAAAAATAAAAAGGGGTCAGTGGATAATCTTTCTAAAAAAATTAAAAAATAAAAACAATTTTGAATAGACATAGTTAAAGTTACAGGGGTAAATATTTTCCCAATAAAATTTATAACGTGCCGCTTTTACCTTCACATTGAATTGAGGCCCTAATATTATAGGGTTAGTTGCCCTACCGCTGTCAAGGACACGTGTCACAGGAAGTTCAAAGAGTTTAAGGCGAAAGCCCGACAACCGGAAAAATCAATAATGTCGTATACCCGGTGTACATGAAAACAACTGCCCCAGCACGTGTCAGCTTATAAGGGGGGCAGGATCCATCCCCATTAAAATTACCACGCGGGACTGGACGAATATCGCGTGATTTTCATGGAAAACCCTTTGCAATTGGCTGTCGGCTTTTTGAGAGTGAGAGTTTTTCCACCATTGTTTGATCAATGTCTGGACTCCATTAACCGGGTTGTTGTTTCTCGTTCGTGCTATCAAGACATTGTGAGTTGACTTAGTCCCACAATACCCACTCCTGTTCCTTGGCTGGCAATTGTTGTGGAATTTCAATACTAACATTTGACATAATTTCTATTTATTTGAGCTTAGCTCATGTGAATTAATATTTAATTTGAGGGCTCGTATTATGGATTTCGTACCTCTTTTCGATGGTCACCGCTTAGGTTGTACGATAATGGCGGGAAATTCTACTGTTATAGATCGAATTTTTTGCGGAGTTTTTTGGAATTATATGTATTTTATATGGTTTAGGTATTAATATACGATAATATAATAAAGATACACACATATTCATAAACATGTAGCTATATAACTTAAGTTGTTATGATAAACAAAGAATGTATTAATGAATGTTTAAAATATATTGTTGTTTTTAAAGTAGGAAACGGACATCCTCAATAAATTTGATCAATTAATTCAACCATGATGATGATTTTGTTATCAAAGGAATTTGTATATGAACTATGAACAAATGAACATACATAAGTCATATTTTGCCAAATATATTTCCTAAGCTATTAAAAAAAAAACAGACAATATTTTTAAAATCCTTATCTACCCTGTATGACCTTTTTTATAATGACACATTAACATGTTGAACCATACTTTAACCCCCACTTCCGTAGAAGTGAATCAGCAACTTTATCAAATTCCGGGAAACTGTCATCTTTAATGTCAGAGTTCGTCCCCCGGAAAGTGAAAGCTGCTCCGGAATGCTACGTACAGTGCAAGTGAGTCACGGCATTGGGACTCTGCCGGAGTGAAAATTAATGCCACAACAAATGCCGGCGCAGGATAATATCCTTTTTCCAGGAATCGTACGCTGATTCAGGCCGACCAACCAGATGGGAGGAAGTGGGGTCGAAAATGGATGGGCCAGAGTCACACACACAGATTAGATGGGCTTCGTGCAGTTTCATTCATAAACGCTACAAAAGCTACAAAAGCTTTCCCCGGTGACCGTTTGTGAATGATGAGTCACAAACCGAACGCACAGGAAAAAAATTATCGCTGGGGAATCGGAATGGGAAAGCACACACATTTTTTAAAATATCTCATAAATATCTTTATTTTATAAAACAATGTTTTTTTCTAATTAATGCAGAGGCATTAAATATTCAAATGAATATAAATTATAATTAAACAATTTGTTTGACATATTGTATAGTTTTATGTATTACAACTAATATTTATTACAACTTAAATGTTGTCCTCATTCCATTACATGGTAGATAAAAGTGTTCAAAAATGCATTTGAAAACAACAAATATTTTTAGAGATCAAAGCCTTGCCATTTTGTCTTAAAGTTCGCTTAAAAATTACTCATACAACATGTATTCCAATTCGAATTTTTACAAAAAAAATTTATTACCCCTTCCCAACTTTGTCAACTTTCTGATCTCGGTCAATATAAATAATCCTTCGATTTTTTGGTCGGAAAACTAAAGCCCGAATCTCACACAACAACAAAATTACATAATTGATCAAGACAGCAGTGCGTATGAGTAATAAATATTGAAGCCAAAACGCATCTTATAAGAGGGTGAGAGTAGGACCTTAAATATTTCCATACATTGATACATGTTTTAAAATTGGTTTATAGAGTAACGGGCATCTAATATTTTCTATTTTTTTTAATTATTGGAACTGTAGACATTTCTTCGAAATTTGCATTACTGGGGATCTTCATCTACATCAGTTAGCTGCAGTTGCTGGAAAAGTTCAAGCGATTATACAGTGACTCAACAGCTGATCGCAGATTCTACGACAAGCTGGCTCTTCGAATTCTTCTCTTCCCCAAGCTGAACTTAAATCTTCGCTGAGCTTGTGACGACACTCAGCTCCCAAGAAAGCTCTACGATCTTCAAGTTCTGCGGTATTTTCAATATCGTCGTCTACGGTATTGAAAAAGTTTCGCCTCGCTCGTCTTTTCCTTCTGGTTGGGCAGTTATTCGATTCGGTTTAGTCTTCAATTCGCGGGCTTCGAGATCGGTTGTGCGTG